TTTAGTGATTTTATCAATTACATCCATAGCAAAGACTTGATTTTCATCATGAGGGTGTTTCATTGCTTCAGAAAGACTAAATTTAATTATCTCACCATCAAACTCCATTGTTAAAGTACCCCCGTGAACATCAATTTTAGCCCGGGCTGTTTTCAAAAACGGTCTTCCCAACAAAATGGGAATGTCGGTTTTATCAACTCCCATATCTAGAATGTAAAAATCAGCAGGAAAAATGAAGTCATTTACTCTAACCAAGACATCCTCTAAGATCCCCTCGGGGTAGGTGTGACTCCTATCTGCTAATTGGATTACTACCCCTGTTCTTTTTAGGTCCCCAATGTGAAGTTGTTCAAAAATATCCTTAGGCATCACATTTATTGAAGAACCTAAGTCTAACATTGCCTTGTCAAATTTTAAACTCCCTATCTGACATGGAACAGTAAAAACTCCAGGATCCTTACATTTTTGGGGTAATTTATTCTGAAAAACAGCACTAATATTCTCACTCATCAACACCTTTTCAGTCCCGCAAAGCTTATTTTTATGAGTGCAAAGTTCTTTAAGAAATTTAGCATACTTGGGAACTTGTCTGATTGCTTGTAAAAGAGGGAGATTTATTTCCACCTTTTTAAAAGTTTCTAACATCTCTTGATCTAACTCCTTCGTCTTAGGTTGTTGACTTAGAAACTTACTGGGAAACGGGGCTTTTTGATTTTTAAACTCATTGATTCTATTTTGAAAGTCAATTTCTTTCTGTTTATCAACCTGAGTGATTTCATTTTCAACAAATTCAGCATTTTGATTTTCAAAAGAAACTTGATTTGGATGAAGTTCTTTCTCCCTTTCTTCCCTACTGACAAAACTAGGTTCCTGCAGTTTTTTCTTATTTCGCAGCTCAATTGCACTCAAATTCTCTTTAGGATTCAAAAATGGTTGAGAAGGAAACCTATTATTAAGTTGGGCTTGCAAATTACTCACTGTAACTTTAGTGGTAGATTGCTTTTCTTGCATTTGCTTAAGAGTTTGGTCAAAACCAGAGAATTTGTCATCCATTTTCTTAAGAATCTGTTCCAAAAGTTGAGTGTTTTTATCAAAAGAGGGCTGTTGTGATGGATTGTTAAAATTCTGAAAATTACCCCTAGGAGCCTGGTAGTTCTGCCCATTACCATACCTGAGATTTGGGTGGTCTCTCCATCCCTCATTGTAAGAATTAGAAAAACAGCATTTACCTCGGGGTGTTGCAAGGTCGGACAAGCATCAGTAGGGTGTCCTTCCAAGCAACAAACCCCACAAGGTTTTCCCTTAACCCCTCCGACAGTTGTAAGTTGTGAAATGGCATTGGTAAGTTCAGTAAGATTGTTTTCAATAAAAGAATTACCAATTTCATTCACTTTCTTCACTAATGTTTCCCTAGTACCAAACTGTTGGGTGTTCTGAGCAATCAAATTAAATAATTCCCTAGCTTGTTCAGGTGTTTTATTAACCAAGGCACCCCCACTGGCAGCATCCACGTTGCCCCTCTCAGTAGGAAGTAGTCCTTCATAAAAATATTGGATTAAAAGTTGTTCAGAAATCTGGTGTTGAGGAAAGGAGGCACAGAGTTTGTTAAATCTTTCCCAATATTCAGAAAAGTTCTCCCCAATCATTTGTTTAATCCCACATATTTCTTTCCTAATTGAACCTATCCTAGAAGCTGGAAAATATTTTTCTAAAAAAGCTTTATGTAGGGCATTCCAAGTAGTGAAAGAACCGGCTGGCATGTAGTACAACCAGTCCTTTGCCTTATCAGCTAAAGAAAACGGGAAAGCCCTCAACCTAATTTGGTCTTGAGCAACCCCTTCAGGCACCATAGCACCGCAAGTAATCAGAAATTCAGAAATGTGCCTAAAGGGATCCTCTCCAGGAAGACCATGGAATTTTGGAAGTAAATTTATGAAGCCAGAATTCAGTTTTAAAGGCTTTTCTAGCTCAGCATATGTGATAGAAAGCGGACATTTAGGTTAGGGGCTGCCAATTCTCTTAAAGTTGTCATATTTGGTTCAGAATTTATTTCAAAAAGATTATCAAAGATGCTATCAGAACAAGAATCAAACAAATCAACAGCAAGCAAATTGGCTGGTCTATCCTCAGATTCAGCAACAAACTCGCTATTAAAAGATTTGGATCCAGAAACACTTACCTCGCGGTTGCTACCTTTTACCTCTATTTCACCAATTACTCTTCCGCTCCTCAAGCGCATGCAAATATCAGATAGCTGCAACTCAAAGAGAATAAAGAAGTATTAGAATTCTTATACTTGATTTAACTGTCAAATAACTACTGAGCAAATAAAAAACAAGCAAACACTATTGTCTCTTAAAAAAAATCAGCACCTTAAGCAATAAGTAAATTTCTGCTCTCTTTTTTTTAAAGAAAACAAAGTGCATTAATTGCTCATTTGACTTTACTCTGATAAAAACTTATTTTGATGAAAACTCCCTGATCATAAAAAAAATATAATTAACAGTAGTGCACCATTGAAAACAGTCTTTTCAAAGGGTTTTTAGGCAAGTTCTCAATAAAATACTTTCACGTTTCAAGAAAAACAGTCAGTATAGTTAGTTCCTACTTCTCTAATTGTTACTAGTTAGCAATATAAAAATATTTTGATCAAACTTGGACTGGAAACTCCTTTTAACATCATTTTCCTAAAAAATTTTAAGCTCCCAGGACCATATTTGTTCAAAATCTGCATTTAGTGGAGAAAAAGGTTGATTTTAAAAACTGTCAGTAAATCTATTTATATTTTTTTTAGTAAAAGGTTGGCCAAGGATAAAAAACGTAGGGACTCATAACAAACTGATTACAAACAAGACACAAATGCACCTAGGGACTGACTTAGACTTTGAAAAAAAACTGACTTATTAAGCTATAATAACCAGCATAGTTAAAAAAAACTTTTTTTTAAGTGTTTTTTTCTGTTTTTAAACAATAAGCAAACCAATTCTCATTTAAAAAATAATCTGTCCCCGGCAACGGCGCCAAAATTTGATAGGCGTGTCGTAGCACCTACAAATTAATTTATTATTTTCCTTAACTTTTAACCCCCTTTTTGAAATAATATTCATTAAAACATATAGATAGGGCAAGTAAGGGTCGATCCCACGAGGAAAGATACTTTTTAAGCTATGAAAATCAGTTCACTTATCACTTTTATTGAATAAAAACACTAACTAAAATCTATAAACTAACTTAAAAGATAGGGGGGGTTTGAAAAAGTGTTTTCTAAATAAAGTAAAAAAACTAACTAAAGTGACACACCACACCAGAACAAATCTCAAAACAAACCAAGGGTAAAAACAGAACATAACTCCACCAAGAAGCCCAAACAAAGAAGACAAACACACATAACACATTAATTTAGAGACTTAAACAATTTTCGAAAACCAACAAAGTGTTTTATAATATAGAAAATAAATATCCAGGATCAAAACTTTGTTGAAAACTAGCATAATCATCAACCAACTATAAATTAAAACAAGGGTCCGGCTGAAAAAAGAAGTCCACCAACGGTTCTTTCCTATTTTCCCATTCATAAAAGCTCATGTTAGGACCAACCCTAACTCTAAACCCTACTACCCTTAGCAACCCAAAGACCAACCCTTAGATTACTACTAAAAATAGTGCATTAAGATTTGTGGAAAACATCACCGTAACAATCTTGCAGTAACACGAAGGTTATTTAACAAAATCAGTTTGAGAACCTTGATTAGCAAAAACCACTTAACGAGGCAGCCTAGGTTAATCAAGTGACACTTGGTTTCTAGAAAAGTTCGGCTATTTAAAGCACTTTGGACTTTAAAAGAATATCATTTTAAATTGGA